GCTTACGCCTGGTCGCTCTGCGCTCTCACCTGTCCAACAGCAGCCTCTTCGTGGGGTAAGGGCATAGGTAGAGTTAAGCCCAAGGGAGGGAGACCATATCAACCCAACCCCGGTGACAGTGCCTCAACACTCCCACACAAGAGACTTCAAGTAGCACAGATGCCTGCCCAGGCCTTCTCTCAAATGCCACCAGGAAAGGCTGCCGGCAGGACGTCAGCGAGGCACTTGGGCTTGGGGTAGAGGCATCAACTTGTGGGTCACTAAAGGTGAATTGCATCCTGTACCAGATGACTGGGCCCATAGCCAGGTTAGGTCAGGACTGGAGACAGACTCTAAATCGTGGGGGGGGGGGCTCAGTCTAGCTTTTGACATAGGAAAGACCCCCAAACCACTTTGGATCCAGCCTGAAGAGGACAGTCTGGCTGAAGGAAGAGTCCACCTTTCCCTATCTCTTACTCCCCAGACGACAGCTATGTTACCAGAACCATGGTGTAAGAGAAGCTGTGTTCATACGGTGACTAAACCTACTTGCTTCTAAAGCTCAGCCCCGTCGCTTGGCATGCATGCCAGTATATCCTTAATGCTTTAAGGGTGGGCTGGGGGCTTCCAGGGTCAGGGCACACTAGAGGCTTGCACTAGCAGTAGCCTAGGGCCACTATCATTGGTAGACTCACTTGCTATATTCCTTGGCTTGCCCTGTGTCCAGAGCATTTGTCTTTCTGCTATTATTTTGGGACTTGGTCCCATTGCCCCAACTGGGAGACTTCCCTCTCTTAGTTGTTGACAATCGGGGGAGGGGTCTGTCCTTGGCTGACAAGAAGCACAGCCAGGGTACCTCCGTGCATACTTTGGGGTCACCTGTGTCACAAGCCTGGGAAGCTGCTCTGGTCATTTAAAAGAATTCCTAGACCCTAAGAAGGAGCTAAAGGCAGGGAATCCGAGTACAGAAAGCAGCTGTGAGGTCCACCAGGCTTGCATTGCAAAATTCTACTCCAGGTCTCTCAGCTGAGAGAGCATGGGACTCCCAGAACACAAGAGCCCAGGCAAAGGAGGTCTGCTCCGGCTTTACTGAGGTATAGTTGCCAGCAGACTTTGGGATCAGCCAGGCAGCGTCCTAAGAAAGGAATGTGGCCTCTCTGGCCTGGATGCCCCGTTCTTTCCAGTGGTTCACATGGGCCCACTCATGAAGTGTTCATGAAACGGCCGTGAAAATACATCTGTGGAGCCCAGCTCACAATGAGCACTCTCAGCTGATGGACGCCATCACTTGTGCAGTGTGTGCTGACTCTACAGAGAGACCCTGGAGACCGGGAGATGTGTTTCCATGGAGAAGCAGGACGGCCTGTCCAGCGTGGGAGCCTCGGCACTACAACAAGGACCCAGGCCATTGCATCACGCACACGGCCCTGCTGGATCATGGCTCCCCTGGGCACACAGAAGCCCGGCCGCGGTGCTGGGGATGATGAAAGCCAAGCTCCTAGCAGCATATCAGGGGATGTGGACCACCTTGGGGTTTGTGCTGAGCCACAAAGGGGAGTGTCCCTCCCTGGGCAGAATAGGGCACACAGAAACTTCTGGTCCAGAGTGGGGAGTGTACCGGTGACTTCTTAGAGTCACAGACCTCAAGTGAGGGAGAGATTCTGTTGGGTTCCAGAGAAAGCCAGACAACTCCTAAGAGGTGGAAAGGGTCATCAGATACAAAGGACCTTGGATTCTCAGCTGCTGCTGTACAGAGCCCGTGCAGAGAACTATTTGTTGTTGGGTGTTTAGAGGATACCCAGTCTGTATCGGGTGTGAGGTGCCCACTCCTGCTGGCAGGCAGGCAAACAGGCACACTGTGACTTTGGGGCACAGGAGAAGCTTAGCAGTTCTGCTGATGCCCAGCTCCAACTTCTGCCCAGGCTGGAGACCTTAAGGAGGGCCGTGCGTGCTCTGCTGAGGCCTTCTCTGTATGCCCGTGCTGCAGTTCAGCATGGAGAAGCATTTGTCCGTCTGCAGTTGTTCACCGAGAACCTACTTGGGGCCAGTGATGGCCTTTGTGGTGACCATCAGTGACAACAGAGACCAGGTAGGGGTGGTCCCTGACCCTAGAGGCCAAAGTGGATGCCCTGGTATAATACTAACCCTACAGGGCACACTTGGTAATACTCATGCCCCAGAACGGTCCTGCCAGCCAAGAGAGGCTCGCTTGACCACGCTGTGACTCGGCAATGGGCTCCTGGCAACTTCACTCAGACCTCGCTCCCCTGCAGGGCCCTGGCATAGAGGCAGGACACCACCATAGTAGCTGTCTCCCCTGGCTGCATCTCATCTATGGAATGGGACAGCTGTCATCGCTGCTCCCTAGCCAGGCCACCCAGAAAACTAAACAGTTCCTTAAGTGGGGACCATTCCCTCTGATAGGGTGCTGTTTGATAAGAGTGAAATCTCCTGTTATCCACTGCTATTTCTGGTCCCGAAAACAGGGGCAGGAAAAGACATCCATGTGCCCAGGGACTACTCTTCCTCTCCTCTCCCAACTACCCACTGACCCCAGTAGAACCTCAGCAGGTATTAATCTCCTGGGGGATTACCATGCTCCTTAGAGAAGCATGCTCTTTGGAAGTCTAGACTGGGGACTGCAGGAAAGGGCTCACATAGGATTTAGGGCTCTGGGGAGGACTGTGCCACCAGGGGCCACCAGAGGGCGCCTGGTCCCTGGCGTCCAGGTCTGGTAGTACAGAACCAGACAGGACCCTGAGCTTGGCTGCCCCTTGGGCTCCCGCTATCCTGAAGGCGACCCCGCTTCTCTCAGTCCATGTGCTAATACTCACTCCAGGGCCCTGAGGCTTGTGGGTACTCCCTCTCCCATTCTGCGGGCTGTGAGGTACGGCCCATGGGGTTCCAGGGAAGTGTGGCACCAGTTTGAAGGAGCACCATTAGGGATGATGGAAGAACACAGTCCCCAGCTTTCCATGTCAATAAGTGGGGTGACCCTCAACAAACACTGGGCCCCAACTGGTACGACTGCTGTAATTCTGCAGGGTAACTGTACACGCTAGTTGGATGGCCAGCACCCACAGCAGAGACAGACATCAGCACATTTTGCTTGTTTTGAGTTCCTCATCCCCACATTCCCCAACCTAGGGTTGTAAGACCCAGACTCTCCGGAAGGGCCATACCTCTGCCTCTTTATTTTGCCCTCTCAGTGCCCTTGTCACTGCCCACACTGCCAGTCCCTGTCTACAAGGGCACAGTAGCTGGGGTTGGGTACATGCTCTAGAAGGTCCCCAAGAAGGCATTAAGATGGGTGGGCCTGGCCACACCACGGGGAGCTGTAGGCTGGAAGGTGTCAGACTGCTGTGTGTGAGGAGTTGGAGGCTGATAAAGATCAGAGATAGGCAGGGATGCCCTGGTAAAAGTTCCTATTTATGTGTGTTTGGAGGAGGGGAGAAAGTGAGCTGGGCGTCTACGAAATTATACTAGCACCTTTTGCTGCCAGGAACCCAGGTGGACAGTGCCCAGAGAAGTGCAGGAGGTGTGGCCTTGACATGGTAGGGCTGTCTGCAGAGAGAGGCACAGAAAGGCCTGCACTGTGGGTGTTTGAGGGCGAGTTAGCCAAGAGACTCAGGCCAAGCAAGGTATCGGTGGGTTCTGTCTCTCCCCAGGGCCTAGCTGTAAGTTATTACCACTCCCAAGCAAGGTAAAGCCACAGGCTACCCTCTCTGATTGACACTCCGATTTTCCTCGTTCAGAATGCCTATGGTACCACTTGAGTTTAACCGCTAGCCTTTAAGCTTCTTCTTCAGTTTCAGAAGAACCCTAGCGCAGGATTTCCCTGCTCATCAAAGTCCCGATGTTGCACCCATCCCGGGAAGCTCCACACACATTTAAGGGTGAAGCCTGGGGCTGGGGAGGTCCTTAGGACACTGCATCGGGCGCTCCAAGCTCATAAAGATTCGGTTCCCAGAGCTCCTGAGGCAGCAGGGAAGAGAAGGGATGGGAAGGGAGGGGAAGAGCAGCTCTCAGCAGCTGCAGGGCCGAGGCCGCCGCCAGGAGGGCCGCTCTTCTTACAAAGAGATGACAAGGCCCCTGGGCGGGATCCAAGACGCCGACCACCTGCAGCTGGGCTCCCAGCTCCAGGCGGCCCCAAGTACCCGGCCCGACCACGAGTGCGCTAGGACCGGGGCGCTGGCGGGCACAAGTTCCTGGGTAGGAATCCCCGCGAGCCCTGGGGTCGCCTGAAGCCCACAGTGGGCTCACATTTCCTTGGAATTCAGGCTTGAAAGATAGGATCTCTTCCCAGAAATTCCACTTAGGCTGCTCCTGCCGTGGACCCGCGGGAATTCCTAAGTAGAATCTGGACGCCTCTGGGAGAGGTCCGCATAGAGAAGTTCCTAGCCGGCTACCACCGGGAGCTGTGCCCCGACAGACCGCCCCACAGCTACCGCTTGCTCCGCCACAAGGGCGGCAGGCACGCTGCCCCCGGAGCTGGGATTGTCGCCCCACCGGCACACTGGGCCAAGCCAGAGGCTGAAGACGCCCAGCTCCAACCCTGACCCGAAGAGAGTGCACCGCGCTGGGGTCCACTCGTCCCTAGCCGGGCCAGAACAGCGCTACGGGGAAGGGACTCCAGCGCGTAGCGACTGGGAACTGGGAAGCAACAGAGCGGATCGGAGCTCAAGAGGCGAGGGCCGCGGGGTTCAGAGCAGAAGAGGCGCAAGAGGCCACTCCAAGTCTGGGTGGCGGGTTCTGGCGCCCGGGGCTAGCTGCAGCGCACGGGTCCAGGGGCCCAGAGTAGATCTCCTCCTGAGTGTTGGGGTCCGGAGCCCCAAGACGCCGCCGCGCCCTACTCACCCGAGATCTCTGCCTGGGGCACGTCGCTCAAGCTAAAGCCCTTGGCCCCGTAGATCTGGCGGACTTCACTGCAGCTCCGGCTCTTGCTGGCTGGGTCCCCGCGGGCGCAGGCGACCAGCGCGGCGGTCACGCACAGCAGCCACCAGCCTCGGGCCCGGAGCTCCATGGCGGGGGGCCCCGGGACTCCCTGGCCGTCCGCGCGCGCCTCCCTTGCTCCCAGCCGGCTCTGCTCAGCCCAGTCTGCGAAGGGCAGAGCCAAGGTCCCGGCGCGCGCGGCGGCTCGTGGTCCAGAGGCGGCTGCCGAGGAGGCGGAGACAACAAAAGCCGGCTGCGACTGCGGCGCGGGGCGCGAGGCGCGAGGCGCGAGGTCCAGCGGCTCAGTCGGGCCGCCCAGAGCGCGGCGAGCGAACGCGCAGCCCCGGCTCGGCGCCTCCCCCGCCGCCCGCCCGGCCCCACGGCGGCCGCGGAGAGGGGCAGGGAGGGGCGGGGAGCGCGGGCGGGAAGAGGGGAGCGCCCGGGCGGGGCGGGGCGGGGCGGGGCGCGGCTGGGGGCACGATCGGGGCGCACCGGGCGCTCCTTCGCTCTAGGGAGGGGGAGGCATGCAGGCCTTTCCAGTCCATGCGATGCGCTCGGGAACGGGGAGAGGGGGCTGCCGGTAACGCAAAACTGAGTCCGGGGTCCCCAAAGGTGCTCCCCCCAAAGCCCAACGGTAAGGGCGGAGGCACCACCTGTGGGGGCGGGGGCGGCGCGGGGGGGGGGGGGACCGCTGAGGCAGGGCTTCCCTCGCCGGACGTGACATCACGTCCTCCCACGGCCAATCAGGGGCTTCCCCGCCCCTTGCCGAATTCAGCACCCCTTTGCTCCTCTCCATCCTTCACTGTCCGTGGCTTTCTCTCTCATCGCTTCCACCTCTCTGTCCTGGTCCCTTGCTTCCTTGCTTACCTGCACCCCCACAACAGCTCCTACCTCCCTACGCCCTTTCTGGCCGCTCCGGCACGGCTCCAGTTCTCATCTGACGTGTTTTGGAGGAGGATGAGGGGGCTGAACGCGGGAAACTGGCCAAAAAAAACTAGCCTTCACCAGCTCAGATGACTTAATTGTTGCAGATTGTCAGCGGGTGTTTCGGTCTGCTCTTCGTGACTCCTTGGGTGCTCGGGCGACAAAAGCAACGGGGCAGAGGCAGGTCTGTGGGCTTGGATGCACGGTGGCAGGTGACCTCTGGAATGAGGAGTGGAGTGAGGAGACTATGTAGGGCAACTTAACCCCAGACATATTGTGGTGGACTGTCAGCTGCTTCAGGGATGATGGGGGAGGATGGGAGGGTCCCTGGCATCCCACCTGGGGGCTGCTGGTTCTGGGTTCAGAGTTTCTTGCTGGGCTGCTGCTGGTGGCACTGTTCCTCCCTCTCTCCCCTCTACTCTGTGGGTAAAGGGCCCAGAGGACGTCATAACTGAGGTCAGACTATGAACCCAGAGACCTAATCTGAAAATGGGAAGAAAGCAAACGAAGTGGCTCACTTGGTTAAGAGTTGTAACATAACCCCTATGTGACAAAAGAGTGCGGGGCGCTTGGATTCACCCAGTACCTATGGGTTTTGTGACAACACCCCTAATCACCCATGCCTCAAAATGCCCCTTCCATCAGGGTTCCTAGACTGTTGGTCTGTTGATTTCAGGATACTGGGTTTCCCACCCTAACTCCTAGTGAAGTTACCCCATCATCTATGCATATAGTCATTGCTTGAGAGCAGCCATGGAGACCTAGTCCAAGAGAGCAGATCTCCTCCCACCCCTGTACTGGAACACCTCTCCTGTCTCACCGACCCCTGCACACCACATGCTAAGGCCTGCTTGTGTCCCCTACCACCTTTAATAGGGCATATGTATCTGACCCAGGCTCCTGCTTGCTTTATGGCGTCTCCTTGTGGTCTGGCCTTCTACCACATGCCTGCGGATGAAGGGGTAGCTTCCTTGGTGACCTGGGAATTGGCTCAGGATTAAACCTGTGTGACCTGTTGCCAGTCACCATTGCATGTGATCCCAACTCAGCTGGTGTCCTGTATAGGGTGACCCCCTCTTCTAGGAACATCCTTATCATTCTACCTGCAAAAGTGAAAACATAGCACCTTCCCTCAGCTTGCAGTACTGGCATCCAAGACCTTTGTCCAGAGGGATGCTCCTCCCTGAGGAAGCCAGAGGGCAGCATGTAAGGGCTGGCATGTCCCCAGCAACCTCCCTCCCTTGCAGGATTGGGTACCTGGAATGGCAGTGGCCTTGTTGCTCCCAGGGAGGGGCCCTTGGATGTGTATGCCACACCAAAGTTAAGCTTCTATTCTTACTTTTGCTGATCAGGACACTTGTCTAAAACGTGGCAGGAAGCTACCTACTTAGGTGGTGTCTAAGATAACTCACTTGTCTCAGCCTTGGATAAAAGGAAACAGACCTGGTACCCAATGGGACTTACCACTTACCAGCTGCTTTAGTAGACCCAACCCACAGCATAGCATCCTTCTCCTCTTGGGGTGGCAGAAGTTCTTGCCATGACATTTGGGGTATATAGAAGGTGCAGGAAGCAAGCTGCCCCATTGGGTGCTGTCTTCAGTGTTCATAGAAGTCCTCTATCCTTTCTGGAAGATTCTGGGAGGGTCTGTTAGCTTCTCAGCCCATTTACAGGACAGAGTTTAAGCCAAGGGGCAGGGAGGGACATAGGCAATCTAGCCCTCTTAGCTTCAGGTAGTCAGGACCTGTCAGAACCTTGGTGATAAAAAAAAAGGAGGCTGAGCAGGGAGTGGTTGTCCAGGCACCAGGAGCTGACAGGACTTCATGGCAGAGGGGGATCTGCTGAAGCTGCCCAGCTGCCATCAAGGTGACAAGGCCTTGGGAGGAACACAGAGAAGATGCTGCCTGCTCCTGCCCTGCCCTGACCAGTGCCTCCTCTGTTCAGCTGTCCTCACCCATGCAGCCTCCTTCCTTGATGCCCCGCAACCTTCCGAGGAGGAGTGGTTACAATTTAGAGTAACGGTTGCTGGGAAAGCTCTTGCATCCTAAAGCAGTGGCCGCTGGAACCTCATTATTTCTAAAATGAGAGCTGCACACACCAGACCCTGCCTTACTTGCCCCTGGGCTCCTGGCTGCAGAGATGCAGTTACATATACCACAACACAGGCAACGACTTAGCTGTCCCTTAGCTAGGCCATGGCATAGCTTGGCACAAGTACCCTTAGGGCATTGGATGCCAAATACAGGTTTTCTCTTGGTGGGAGCTACCTCTTGGGAATGGGGTTACAGTGAGATTTTGGACGGTTGGGTGCTGAGGCCACTATATACCTTGGGTCCTTGCCTGCCTAAAGTATGGTATGGATGTGAGACAGAAAGCAGAAACGGAAGGGTGGAAAGCAAATTAAAAGGGGGAAACTGCATTCCTCCAAGCCAGATGAAGCCAGGACCTGTATTTCTATTGTCACAGAGCGTGGAGCTGAGGAGAGAGGGGCAACAGAGTCCTTGTTCCCAAGCTTCTGGCTTCCATGAGAGTCCTGAAGGGATCTTGGCGCAGGAGCATTGAGCTCTGACTTCTCAGAGGGACATCGGGACTAATTGGCGGTCTGCTGGTTCCTAGCAGGCCTACTGACCTCCACATTTTCCCTGTGATTTGGCACTGCCTCCCGCAGCTGGTTGAACCAACATGTTTCACGTTCTCTTTGGCTTCGTGTTCTTCTTTCAGTGGCTCCAAAAGCAACTTCCAAAGAGACAGCAGTCAAAGCCGCCATCGGTTAACAGGTGCAAAGTGGAGCCAGCAGGCAGCAGGGGTCAGAAGCATGAACTGGGAGCAAGTGACAGGTGATGGCACTTTGACCTCTTAGGAGATGGCACGGTACCTGGGGAATATGGAAAACCTAGGGGACCCACATCTCTGTAGGGACCCCACCCTGGGCAGCAGGGTGAGGAAAGAAACAGATGCGGTCAGGGGTCTGGTGAGAGAATTGTGGCCTCCAGGAGCAACTGGCAGCATGGAGCAGCTCAGGAGATCCAGACAGCCACCTCCCTAGACATATTTCGGCCATTGGCATCAGAGTCCTTGCCGGAAGAAAACAGGACCCTGAGTGGATCTGCAGAGCTAGGAGAGATGCCCCCCCCCCACCTTTTGCTGCCCAGAGCACTGCAATGCTCCTGTTTCTTCTCTCCATGTCTGGGGGAAGTTACTGCACTAGGTCGGGATGACATCTGGGGTTTCACACAGGGCTCAGACCAAGAGAGATCACCCCTGTGTGGGTTCTAGGAAGTGGGGTGCTGTTTTCCCTTTACGCAGACACTAAATAAGTCCCTACAAAGTCCTCCCAGTCCTGGATCACGTGGCTGGTACAAAGGTACTAAACCTCAAGTCTGAGTTCCAGAGCTGTTCTTGCTTCTAGGACTTGGGGGCTGCAGGAGTGGGCATAGGGTGCTGGCTGGAGACAGCACTGGCACAGTCTGCTCAAGGGTGGTCCTACCTGTGCTCACCCCCTGCCTGCCCCAAACCCTTGCCTGCGGGCACTCCACATCAAGGCAGCACGTTGGCAGCCGTTCGGCTCTGCTGAATCCCAGGTCCCTTTGATCAGCCGGAAGTCTGGGCATGTCTCCGTATTTAGGCCAGCTGAAAGGAGGCCTGCTCAGACGAGGTTGGGCCACCCATATGGGCCCCTGCAGAAGCCCACTTTTGTCTCTGTTTGAGTGCCCCAGCAGGAGATGGGCCCAGATACTCAGCTCTGGGCTCCACTGTCCTTGGAGCTGTTTTCCTGCCTTGCTGCCCTGACTCTGGGTCAGGACACCGAGGAGAGAGGAAACTTGGGTATGAGTACCCAGCCAGGTCTGATGTGCTTAGACAAAGCTCTCCATGTGACTGATAGGTGCAGAGAGACTGGCGTGCTGATAATCTCAAGGCCCTGGACAACAGGAACTGGGCTGTCCTCCAGATCTCACCTGCTACCCTTTGGCTTTTGTGTGACATCTGCCTGCCTGCCCTGAAACTCTTCTACTTAGACAGCTTCCAGCTTCTGGTCTGTTCTGCATTCCATGCAGCCTGGTTGTTCTTTTTGTAAAGCCAGCTTCAATCAGAAGCCTGCAGAGACTCTGCCTGCAGAGCTCGGAGCCCCGAGTGCATGTGACAGCAGCCACATGGGCCTTGCTCATGTCTCTGGAAGGGCATTCTTAACTGAGCCGAATGTTCCACCTGTCACTCTCAGATCCCAGCTTCTTCCCCAAGACAGGCTTCTTAGGTGTTTCCAGCTCCAGAGGTTTGGAACTGCAGGGTTTTGTAGCCATGCAGATACAGCTCCTGAAACCTCAAGAGGCATGGAGGCCTTCTTGCCTCTAGACTCCATCGCTCTTGTGTGATGAGCATGGCTCTTAAGCCGACCTAGATGCAGGGCTTATTCTGTCCTCCAAACAGCCGCTTACAGAGTAAGGCCAATTTTTATTTTGTTTTGAGGCAGGGTTTCTCTGTGTAGTCCTGGGACTATCTCTGTAGACCAGACTGGCCTAGAACTCAGAGATCCACCTGCCTCTGCATCCCTAGTGCTGGGATTAAAGGTGTGCCCCACCACCGCCCAGTGGATAAGGGCAATTGAACATACCTGGTTAGTAGCCGTGGCGATGAGTGCTGCCTAGTGGACAAGGCCTGGCACGACCACCCACACCCTCCACAGTGAACTTCCATCTATTTTAGGAAGAAGCCCACTATCGTGTAGAACACCTACTTCTGAACTATTTGGGAGCTGTTGTTTGAAGTGCAGCTTAGCAAGTCTGGATGTATTCGTTCAGGTCAGGGCCAGTTTTTCAAAGGTCCCGGTGGCATTCACATACATTCCCAGCCTACTCTGGGCGAGGCCATTTTCCGACATGGGTCTAATAGAAACTCCCCTGTAGCATCATTTGGACAAGTCGCTATCTGGCTTTGGTGTACATCACAGATATGACCCGACTCAGAGGCAGGACGCTAAGGGAGTGGTTATGTAGCAGCTCTGCAGAGATACAACCACTCTGAGCAGTAGGAGGAGGACCCTGCCTTCTTCATGGTTGTTCTGGACATTGCTTCCGGTGAGGCTGCTAGAAGGCTCCCAGCTGTTGTTCTCAGGATTATCGTGAGGGCGAGATTCTCAGAGCTGAGCTGGACAAGGGGCAGGTGACTTGGCAGGGTACCATCCACCTCCATCTGGGTCTAAGAGGTCACTGGTGTGGCCTTGATGGCAGCAGCAGGCGAGAGAGGCAGCTGGACACTTGGCTGAGGAGGACGGTAGTTTTTATGTTAACTCTTAGGGCTCTTTGGGGGCCCACCACACAATTCCCAAATAAATACCTGGAGACTTATTCTTACTTATGAATGTCCTGTCTTAGGTTGGCTTGTTTCTTGCCAGCTTTTCTTAACTTAAATTATCCCATCTACTTTTGCCTTGGGGCTTTTATATTTCTCTATTTCTTACTCCCTGACTGGCTAGGTGGCTGGCCCCTGAAATCCTCTTTTGTTTTTCCTCCTAATCCTCTCTTCCTGGATTTCTCCTTCTATTTATTCTCTCTGCCTGCCAGCCCTGCCTATCCTTTCTCCTGCCTTGCTATTGGCCGTTCAGCTGTTTACTGGACCAATCAGGTGTTTTAGACAGGCAAAGCCACACAAGTTCACAGAGTTAAACAAATGCAAGCTAAGAGGAAGAGAAATCTTTGCATCATTATACAAATGTTCCACAGCATAAACAAATGTAACACGTCTTCAACTAATATTCCTCAACAAAGGACCCAGGTTTGTATTGTGTAAGGCTGAGGTCTACACGATAGGCACGAGAGGGGCTCCTGAGGAAGAGTCTCGTTAAAGGGGAGGCATTGCAAGAGCTTGGAGAGCAGGTCGCACAAGCTCAGTGGGCAAACTGCAACCCCATATGCCATATGCGTTCCACTCTATAAAGGTAATTTTGCCAGATGGTCTCTAGAGGGCAAGAGCCAAGGGCTCTGCACGGGTTGGGTGTACAGTTTCATGATCCTGAGAGGGGAAACAGCAGGATCTGCACTGCTCTGGGAGTCCCCGCACCTTCCTGCAAGAGCAGGGATGTGTGCTTAGCTGAGGGTAGCCAGGCTGAGGGGCTCAGTGAGAGGAAGGGATACAGGTCTACTCCAGGTTCCCAAATGGGTCAGAGAGACAGTCCAGGCGCAACTGGAGGTAGAAGAGGATTCCAGCCCTGGTGCTGGGTGCAGCCCCTGGTCAATTCAGGAGAAGAGAGGGGAATAATACTGAAAGAAACCCCAACCAACGATTACAGTTCAAGAAGCTGGTATCCACAACCTCTGGCCGTGACCTGATGAAGAGCCAGCTAGCCACATCCATGCCCTAGCCTTGAGTCAAACCACCCTTGTTGAGGAGAGGGTGGGCCAGGAAGTGGGGTGCCCTTCTTAGAGGTGGCTGGTGGCATTGCTAGCTGACCTAACCCTTGACCCTTGCCCTTTAGTGATTGTCTGCCAAAGTGTCTCTGTAGAAGCAGGTGTGACAGCCTCACTCTTCCCAAGGGCCTCATACCTAAACGCTTTCCTCCTTAAGATGGACTGGAGGCCAGAGAGGGTGGTGGAAATGCTGGCCTGTTATGTCATCAGGCTAGGCGTGGAGCCCCTAGAGGAGGCGTAGGCTGTTCTCTGAATTGGATTAAAGCCGAAGACTCACGTTAAAAACTCACAGCCAAGCTATGGTAATCAAAACAGACATACAAAGCAATGGGACTGAGGGCTCAGATGAAAAGCCTGCCCTTCTGTGGACAGTTGCCATAGACAAGAATACCAAGACTGTTAAGGGGAGGAAGACAAGTGTCTTTAGCAAGTGAGTCCAGACACCTGGAGTTAGACTCTTTCCCTCCCACCCCAGACAAAGATGAACTCGAAATGGATCAAAAGCCTCAATAAGCTAAAATTATAAAACTCTTAGAAGAAAATCCTAGATGAAAAACCTTTGTGGTTTTGGATTTAGAAGAGGATTCCTGGCTGTGATGTTTGGCAAGCAACAAGATTTAAAAAGCAGATAAATTTGACTTCATCAAAATAAAAAACTGTGCACCATGGAAGTGTTATCAGGAAAACAAAAGGTACAGCCGAGAGACTTGGAAAAGTCCTGTAAGTCACCCCTGCAAGGGATGTAGCTTTTAGAAAACATAAAGAGTCTTTATAACCAAAGGTAAAAGGTCAACTGTAGAAAGGACAGAGGAACTGGAAAGGTATTTTTTTCCACAGTGATGTAAATGGCTCTATGGTGGTTTTGTTATGTGACTCTGAGTTCAGTAAAGCCCAAGAGAACAGGGTGTTCCTGAGGGGTAAGTTGGTGGAGTATAGCCTTGGGCAGCCTGGTGTGGAGCCAGCTCCGGGCAGGGCTGACACTGTCATCTTTCTAAAGTGATTCCAGCCTGGGATGCCAGATTTGGAATGTGCTGGGGGTTGGAGGACCAGAGCTATGCCTTGGCGACTTTGACTTCCTTGTTACTAGAAACTGAGGTGAGCTGTTTTTCAGGATGAAAGTGGAGAGCTTGAAGACCTGATCTCAAATGTCCCCCCAAAAGC